GTAATGGCAGGGTTGCCTCAGAAACGGCGGGCTGTCTCAGTAATGGCAGGTTGCCTTGGCAACAGCAGGCTTCCTCAGCATTAGTTGACTACCTCAGTAGTGTTGGAGTCCCTCAGTAATGGCAAACGCCCCTCCCCAACAGGGCTGGACCATACTGTGTTCAGCTGCAATTGCTGTGAAACTATCAATCCAGAGAGTTCCCGGTTGCTCTTCTTTTGTGGGGTTTGGACCAGCCGAACCTGATTGCCTGGCCCCCTGCCTCAGAGCCTTTTTATTTTTTATTTCTTTAGTTGTTGTTCCAGTTGCCTATTGAAGAGGTGCCGGGATCTGTGTGTTTTCCCATGTGGTGACTCACTGCAATGGCTTAAATAGTGGCACTGAGATTCGTGGCACTTTTTTTTGCCCTGGAATCTCCTGTCCTGGCTCCCTGTTCAGCCCACTTTTTAAACAGATGAATGGGTGACTTCCCATGGCTCCAATCACAAGCCAAAAGGGCACCTGGACCAGTGTATTTTGTATGGAGAACTGCTGCACCGGGGTGCTCACAAAGCAGCTGGGCGGGGCAAAGCAGCCGCTCCAGCCCACAAAGCCGAGCTAGCGAACTGTGGGGCTCCTCCGCCTGGGAATCTCCTAGTCTGTGAGCAATAAAAATGCAGTATCCACTCACCCTCTGCCCTTTCACTGGGAGGTGCAGTCCTGAGCTCTTCCTTAACGGCCATCTTGGATCCTCCCGAAACCTCTGGTTCTAAAACGAAAACGGAGCTATCTACCAGAATGGCTGTCAATGTGTGCATTCAACTTACAGAGTTAAACTGATGTGTGTATGCAGCAGTTTAGAAACCATTTCTGTGGAGAATCTAAAAACAGACATTTCCAGCAATATCCTGGCATACAAGAAATAGCAGTAAAACTGCATCTAAAACACAGAAGAAACATATTTTTCCAACTGGTCTGCTGTGTGTTCCTTCCACTATGAAGGTTGCATCTATGTTTAGATTCAGCGAGTTAGAAACCCATTTCTTCTAGGAGCTGCGTTTAGATATTCCCTAGTGAATGGGAGTATAGGCAGTAATGAGAAACATTTGGTTCTAAAACGGAAACGGAGTTATCTAAAAGAATGGTTCTTAAATTCAACTTTCATAGTTAAACTGATATGTGTATGTAGCAGTTTAGAAACCATTTCTGTGGAGAATCTAAAAACAGACATTTCCAGCAATATACAGGCATATAAGAATTAGCAGTAAGACTGCGCCTAAAACAGAAGAAATATATTTTTTAAGCTGCTCCACTGTGTGTTCCTTCCACTACGCGAGTTTCATCTATGTTTAGATTCAATGAGTTAGAAACCTGTTTCTTCTAGGAACTGTGTTTCTATATTCCTGAGTGAATTGGAGTATATGGTGTAATGAGAAACATCTGGTTCTGAAACGAAAACGGAGGTAATAACAGTATGGTTGTCAATGTGTGCATTCAACTCACAGAGTTAAAGTGCTGCGTGTATGCAGCAGTTTGAAACCCGTTCTGTGGAGAATCTAAAAACAGAGATTTCAAGCAAAATCCCGGCATATAAGAAATAGCAGTAAGACAGCATCTAAAACGCAGAAGAAACGTATCTTTCAAGCTGCTTTGCTGTGTGTTCTTTCAGTTAAGGGATTTGCATTTATGTTTAGACTCAGCGAGTTAGAAACCCATTTCTTCTAAGACCTGCATTTGCACATTCCAGAGTGAATGGGAGTACATGCTGTAATGAGAAACATCTGTTTCTAAAACGAAAATGGATCTATCTAACAGAATGGTTGTCAATGTGTGTATTCCCTAGTCAATGTGTGTAAGATGTAATGAGAAACATTTCTGTGAAGAATCTAAAAACAGACATTTCCAGCAATATCCTGGCATACAAGAAATAGCAGTGAAACTGCGTCTAAAACACAGAAGAAACATATTTTTCCAACTGCTCTGCTGTGTGTTCTTTCCACTATGGAAGTTGTATCTATGTTTAGATTCAGCGAGTTAGAAATCCATTTCTTCTAGGAGCTGCATTTAGATATTCCCGAGTGAATGGGAGTATAGGCAGTAATGAGAAACATTTGGTTCTAAAACGAACACAGAGCTATCTAAAAGAAGGCTGTCAAGGTGTGCATACAACTGCAAAATCTCGGCATATGAGAAATACCAGTAAGATTTCATCTAAAAACATAAGAAACGTATCTTTCAAACTGCTCTGCTGTGTGTTTGTTCCAGTAAGGGAGTTGCATCTATGTTTAGATTCAGCTATTTAGAAACACGTTTCTTGTAGGAGCAGCTTTTGGATATTCCTGAGTGATTGAGAGTATATGCTGTAGTGAGAAACACCTGGTTCTAAAAAGAAAATGGAGTGATCTAGCAGAATGGTTGTCAATGTGTGCATTCAACCTACAGAGTTAAACTGATGTGTGTATGCAGCCCTTTAGAAACCCTTTCTGTGGAGAATGTAAAAACAGGTATTTCCAGCAAAATCCTGGCATAAAAGAATCAGCAGTAAGACTGCATCTAAAAACAGAAGAAATGTATTTCTCAAACTGCTGTCCTGTGTGTTTGTTCAACTAAGGGACTTGGATCTATGTTTAGATTTCTCTAGTTAGAAACATGTTTCTTCTAGGAGCTGTGTTTGGACATTCCTGAGTGAATGGTAGTATATGCTGTAATGAGAAACATCTCGCTCTAAAACGAAAATGGAGCCGTCTAACAGAATGGTTGTCAATGTGTCTATTCAACTTACACAGTTAGGCTGTTGTGTGTATGCAGCAATTTAGAAACAATTTCTGCGGAGAATTTAAAAACAGACATTTGCAGCAAAATCCCAGCAAAAAAGAGCAGTGAGACTGCATCTAAAACACAGAAGAAACGTATTTTTCAAACTACTCTGCTGTGTGTTCTTTCAACTGTGGGAGTTGCATCTATGTTTAGATTCATCGAGATAGAATCACGTTTCTTTCAATAGCTGCATTTGAACATACGTGAGTGATTGGGAGTATATGCTGTAATGAGAATAATGTGGTTCTAAAGTGAAAATGGATCTATCTAACAGAATGCTTGTCAATGTGTGCTTCGAACTGAGACAGTTAATCTCAGGTGCATAAGTAGCAGTTTAGAAACACTTCCTGTGGAGAATGTAAAAACAGACATTTCCTGCAAAACCGCGGCTTGTAAGAAAAAGAAGTAAGGCTGCGCTTAAAACACAGAAGAAACGTATCTTTCAAACTTCTCTGCTTTGTGTTTTTTCACCTAAGGGAGTTGCATCTATGTTTAGAGTCAGTGAGGTAGAAACCAGTTTCTTCTAGGAGCTGTGTTTGGACATTCCCGACTGAATGGGAGTATATGCTGTAATGAGAAACATCTGGTTCTAAAATGAAAAAGGAACTATCTAACAGAATGGTTGTCAATATGTGCATTCAACTTACAGAGTTTAACTTATGTGTGTATGCAGCAGTTTAGAAAGCCTTTCTGTGGAGAATCTAAAGACAGACATTTCCAGCAAAATTCCAGCATATAAGAAATAGCAGTAAGACTGCATCTAAAACACAGAAGAAACGAATCTTTCAAACTGCTCTGCTGTGTGTTCATTCAACTAAAGGAGTTGCATCTACATTTAGACTCAGCGAGTTAGAAACACGTTTTTTCTAGGAATTGCATTTAGACATTCCTGAGTGAATGTGAGTATATGCAATGAGAAACATCTGGTTCTAAAATGACAACAGAACTATCTAACAGAATGGTTGCCAATGTCTGCATTCAATGTGGAGTTAAACTAATGTGTGTATACAGCAATTTAGAAACCCTTTCTGCAGAGAATCTAAAAGCAGATATTTCCAGCAAAATCCCGGCATATAAGAAATTGCAGTAAGACTGTGTCTGCAAAACAGAAGAAACGTATATTTCCAACTGCTCTGCTCTGTGTTGGGTTGCCTAAGGGAGTTTCATCTACATTTAGATTCAGGGGTGAGAAACTCGTTGCTTCTAGGAGCTGCATTTGAACTTTCCCGAGTGAATGGGTGTGTATGCTGTAATGCAAAACATCTGGTTCCAAAGCTAAAATGGAGCTATCAACAAAATGGTTGTCAATGTGTCCATTCAACTTACAGAATTAAATTCATGTGTGTACACAGCAGTTTAGAAACCCTTTCTGTAGCGAATCTAAAAAGAGACATTTCCAGCAAAATCCAGGCATATAAGCAAAAGCATGAACACTGCGTCTAAAACACAGAAGAAACGTATCTTTCAAACTGCTCTGCTGTGTGTTTGTCAACTAAGGGAATTGCCTGTATGTTTAGATTCAGCGAGTTAGAAACCAGTTTCTTCTAGGAGTTGCGTATGGCCATTCCCGAGTGAATTGGAGGATATGGTGTAATGAGAAGCATTTCGTTCTCAAACGAAAATGGAACTATCAAACAGAATGGTTGTCAATGTGTGCATTCAACTTACAGAGTTGAAGTGATGTGTGTATGCAGCAGTTTAGAAACTGTGGAGAATGAAAAACCAGACATTTCCAGCAAAATCCCGGCATGTAAGAAATAGCACTAAGATTGCATCTAAAACACAGAAGAAACTTATTTTTCAAGCTTCTCTGCTGAGTGTTTATTCAAACAATGGAGATGCATATATGTTTAGTTTTAGCGAGTTAGAATCCTATTTCCTCTAGGGACTTCATTTGAACATACCTGAGTGAATGGGAGTATATGCTGTAATGAGAAACATCTAGTTCTAAAACGAAAACTGAGCTAAATAAAAAAATGGTTGTCAATGTGTGCATTAAACTTACAGAGTTAAACTAATGTGTGTATGCAGCAGTTTAGAAACAATTTCTGTGGAAAATCTAACAATAGACATTTCCAGCAAAATCCTGGCATACAAGAAATAGCAGTAAAACTGTGACTAAAACACAGAAGAAACGTATATTTCCAACTGCTCTGCTATTTGTTCGATGAACTAAGGGAGTTGCATTTATGTTTAGATTCAACGAGCTAGAGACTCATGTCTTCTAGGAGCTGCCTTTGGACATTCCCGTGTGAATGAACATATATGCTGTAATGAGAAATATCTGGTTCTAAAATGAAAATGGAGCTGTCTAACAGAATGGTTGTCAACGTGTGCATTCAACTTACTGACATAAACTGATGTGTGTATGCAGCAGTTTAGAAACCCTTTCTATGGAGTATCTAAAAACTGACACTTCTTGCAAAATCCTGGCATATAAGAAATAGCAGTAAGTCTGTGACTAAAACACAGAAGAAACATATCTTTAAAACTGTTCTGCTGGGTGTTTGTTCAACTAAGGGTGTTGCATCTATGTTTAGATTCAGCAGGTTAGAATCCCGTTTCTTGAAGGAGTTGCATTTGGAGGTTCCCGAGTGAATGGGAGTATATACTGTAACGAGAAACATCTATTTCTAAAACAAAAATGGAGCTATTTAACAAAATGGTTGTCAATGTGTCCATTCAACTTACAGATTTAAACTGATTTGTATACACAGCAGTTAAGAAACCCTTTCTGTGGAGAATCTAAAAACAGACATTTCCTGTAAAATCCCGGCATATAAGCAAAGCAGTAACACTGCGTCTAAAACACAGAAGAAACGTATCATTCAAACTGCTCTGCTATGAGTTCGTTCAACTAAGGGAGTTGCATCTATGTTTAGATTCAGTGAGTTAGAAACCCCTTACTTCCAGGAGCTTAGTATGGCCCTTCCTCAGTGAATTGGAGGATATGTTGTAATGAGAAACATCTCATTCTAAAATGAAAACGGAGCTATCAAACAGAATGGTTGTCAATGTGTACATCCAACATACAGAGTTAATCTGATGTGTGTATGCAGCAGTTTAGAAACCCTTTTAGTGGAGAATCTAAAACCAGACATTTTCAGCAAAATCCTGTCACGTAAGAAATAGCAGTAAGACCGCATCTAAGACACAGAAGAAACCTATCTTCCAAACTGCTCTGCTTTGTGTTCCTTCACCTAAGGGGGCTGCATCTATGTTTAGATCCAGCAAGTTAGAAACACATTACTTCTAAGAGAAGAGAATGGGAGTATATGCTTCAATGAGAAACATCTGGTTCTGAAATGAAAACGGAGCTATCTAACAGCATGGTTGTCAATATGTGCATTCAACTTACAGAGTTAAACTGATGTGTGCATGCAGCAGCTTATAAACACTTTCTGTAGAGAATCTAAAATAAGACATTTCCATGAAAATCCCAGCATATAAGCAAAAACAGTAACACTGCATCTAAAACACTGAAGAAACATGTCTTTCAAACTGCTCTGCTCTGTGTTCGTTCAACTAAGGGAATGGATCTATGTTTAGATTCAACAGGTTAGAAATCAGTTTCTTCTGGGAGCTGTGATTGGATATTCCTGAGTGAACAGGAGTGCATGCTGTAATGAGAAACATCTGGTTTTTAAACTAAAACGCAGCTATCTAACAGAATGGTTGCCAATGTGAGCATTAAACTTACAGAGTTAAGCTGATGTGTGTATGCAGCACTTTAGAAACACTTCCTGTGGAGAATCTAAAAACAGATATTTCCAGCCAAATACTGGCATATAAGAAATAGCAGTAAGACTGCGCCTAAAACACAGAAGAAGTGTATTTTTTAAACTGCTCTGCTGTGTGTTTGTTCTGCTAAGGGAATTGCACCTATGTTTAGATTCAACGTGTTAGAAACCAGTTTCCTCTGGGAGCTGTGTTTGGACATTCCCGAGTGAACAGAAGTGCATGCTGTAATGAGAAACATCTGGTTCTAAAACTAAAGTGGAGCTATCTAGCAGAATGGTTGCCAATGAGTGCATTCAACTTACAGAATTAAACTGATGTGTGTATGCAGCAGTTTAGAAAGCCTTTCTGTGGAGATCTCATAACAAACATTTCCAGCAAAATCCTGGCATACAAGCAAAAGTAGTAACACTGTGTGTAAAACACAGGAGAAACGTATTTTTCAAACTGCTTTGCTGCGTGTTCGATCAACTAAGTTAGTTGCATTTATGTTTAGAGTCAGCGAGGTAGGAACCCGTTTCTTCTATGAGATGCTTTTGGACATTCCCGAGTGAATGGGAGTCTATGTGGAAATGAGAAACATCCGGTTCCAAAACGAAAACGGAGCTATGTAACAGAATGGTTGTTAATGTGTGTGTTCAACTTAAAGAGTTAAACTGATGTGTGTATGCAGCAATTTAGAAACTCTTTTTGTAGAGAATGTAAAAAAAGACATTTCCAAAAAATCCCGGCATATAACAAATAGCAGTAAGACTGCGTCTAAAACACAGATGAAACGTATCTTTCAAACTGCTCTGCTGTTTGTTCGTTCAACTAAGTGAGTTGCATTTATGTTTAGATTCAGTGAGTTAGAAACCTGCTTCTTCTAGGAGCTGCGTTTGGGCATTCGGAGTGAATGGGAGTATATGCTGTAATGAGAAACATCTAGGTCTAAAAGGAAATGGAGCTATCAGAATATTTTTCAATGTGTGCATTCAACATACAGAGTTAAACTGTTGTGTTTATGCAGCAATTTAGAAACCTTTTCTGTGGAGTATGTAAAAACAGACATTTCCAGCAAAATCCCGGAATATAAGAAATAGCAGTAAGACTGTATATAAAACACAATAGAAACATATCTTTCAAACTGCTATGCTGTGTGTTCGTTGAACTAAGAAAGTTGTATCTATGTTAGATTCAGCAAGTTAGAAACCCGTTTCATCTAGGAGCTGCCTTTGGACCTTCCCAAGTGAATGAAATTATAGGCTGTAATGAGAAACTTCTGGTTCTAAAACGAAAATGGAGCTATCTAACAGAATGTTTGTCAATTTGTGCATTCAACTTACAGAGTTAAACTGATGGTTGTATGCAGCAATTTAGAATCCCCTCATGTGGAGAATGTAAAAACAGACATTTACAGCAAAATCCTGGCATATAACAAATAGCAGTAAGACTGTGACTAAAACACAGAATAAACATATCTGTCAAATGGCCCTGTGATGTGTTTGTTCAACTAAGGGGGTGGCATCTATGTTTACATTCAGCAAGTTAGAAACACTTTTCTTCTAGGAGCTGCTTTTGGACATTCCCGAGTAAATGGCAGTATATGCCATAATGAGAAACATCTGGTCCTAAAACAAAGCGGAGCTATATAACAGAAGGGCTGTCAATTTGTGCATGCAACTTACAGAGTTAAACTGATACGTGTATGCAGCAGTTTAGAAACCCTATCTGTGGAGAATATAAAAACAGATATTTCCTGAAAAATTCCAGCATTTAAGAAATAGCAGTAAGACTGTATATAAAACACAGAAGAAAGGTATCTTTCAAACTGCTCTACTATGTGTTCCTTCAACTATGGAAGTTGAATCTATATTTAGATTCAGAGTTAGAAACCCGTTTCTTCTAGGAGCTGTGTTTGGACATTCCCGAGTGAATGGGAGTATATGCTGTAATGAGAAATATTTGGTTCTAAAACGAAAACGGAACTATCAAACAGAATGTTTGTCTATGTGTGCATTTAACTTACAGAGTTAAAGTGATGTGTATGCAGCAGTTTAGAAACCCTTTCTGTTCAGAATCTTAAAGCAGACACTTCTTGCAATATCCCAGCATATAAGAAATGGCATTAAGATTGTGTTATATACACAGAAGAAACGTATCTTTCAAACTGCTCTGCGGTGTGATCCTTCAACTAAGGGAGTTGCAACTATGTTTAGACTCAGCGAGTTAGAAACCCGTTTGTTCTAGAAGCTACATATGCACATTCCTGAGTGAATGGGAATATATATTGTAATGAGAAACATCTCGTTTTAAAACAAAAACAGAGCTATCTAACAGAATGGTTGTCAATGTGTGCATTCAACTTATAAAGGTTAACTGATGTGTGTATTCAACAGATCAGAAATCCTTTCTGTGTAGAAGGTAAAAACAGACATTTCCAGCAAAATCCTGTCATGTAAGTAACAGCAGTAAGACTGCTTCTAAAACACAGATGAAAGGTATCTTTCAAACTGCTCTGCTGTGTATTCCTTCAACTAAGAGAGTTGCATCGACCTTTAGATTGAGTTAGAAACCCATTTCTTCTAGGAGCTGCATTTGGGCATTCCCGAGTGAATGGGAGTATAAGCTGTAATGAGAAACATCTGGTTCTAAAACGTAAACAGAGATTTCTAACAGAATGGTTGTCAATATATGCATTGAAATTACAGAGTTAAATTGATGTGTGTGTGCAGCAGACTAGAAACCCTTTCTGTAAAGAATCTAATAATAGACATTTCCAGCAAAATACCAGCATATCAGAAACAGCAGTAAGACGGCGTCTAAAAACAGAAGAAACCTATCTTTCAAACTGATATGCTGTATGCAGGTTGAAGTATGGGAGTTGTATCTATGTTTAGATTCCTAGAGTTAGAAACCCGTCTCTTCTAGGAGCTGTGTTTGCACATTCCCAAGTGAATGGGAGTATATGCTGTAATGAGAAACATCTGGTTTTAAAACGAAAATGGAGCTATCTAACAGAATGGTTGTCAATGTTAAAGTTGAACAGAGTTAAACTGATATGAGTATGCAGCAGTTTAGAAACGCTTTCGGTGGGGATTCTGAAAACAGATATTTCCAACAAAATCCCGGCATATAAGAAAGATCAGTAAGACTGCGCCTAAAACACAGAAGAAATATATCTTTCAAATTGCTCTGCTGTGTTTTCATTCACCTAAGGGAGTTGAATCTATGTTTAGGTTCAGCGAGTTATAAACCCGTTTCTTCTAGGAGCTGCATTTGGACACTCCCGAGTGAATGGGAGTATAAGCTGTAATGAGAAACATCTGGTTCTAAAACGAAAACGGAACGATCTTAACAGAATTTCTGTCAATATGTGCATTCAGATAACCGAGTTAAACTGATATGTGTATCTAGCAGTTTAGAAACCTTTTCTGTGGAGAATCTAAAAACAGACATTTGAAGCAAAATCTCAGCATATAAGAAATAGGAGTAAGACTGCAT